TCTGCACAGATGCTGCCAGACCTGCTGAGCTTTTCCAGCAATTTCTATTTTTGTTTCTGATTTGCAGCATCTGCAGTTGTTTTGGTTTTTATTTAGGTACCTGGTAAAGTTGGGCCATATCTGTAGGTTTAATATTTTACAACATTAACAAATCAAATGAGCCAAAATTAACTCTTTAAAATAGTTTAACACTTGGAAGATCTATTAGAGAAAGAAATGTTGTGCACTGATCCATTTTTTTCATTGAGTTGAAAAATTTTTGGAGTAGAACATTCATAAATGCAGTTCTGTGCTTTTTTTTAATTCTTACATACGATCTGGGTGGTATTGGCAAGGCCAGAATTTATTGCTTTTGAATTGAGTTGTTTGCTAGATCATTTCAGAGGGCAGTTGAGAGTCAGCCATATTACTATGGTCTGTTTTTGTCATTCATTCATAAGACATGAACTTCAAAGAATGGACCAACATTCATTGCACATCAGTAGGTGGTGGTGGTTAGATACCACCTTGAATTACTGCAGTCCATTTGGTGCTAGTAGACCCACACTCATGAGGGAGTTCCAGAATTTTGACCCAGCAAACTGGAGAAATAGTGATATATTTCCAAGTGAAGATGATGAATGGCTTAGAGAGGAACTTGCCTAGATGAGTGCAGCTCCAACAATGCTCAAAAAGCTTGACACCATCCAGCATTAAGCTGCCTGCTTGATAGGCTCCACATCCACAAGCATCCATTCCCTCCACCACTGATGGTCACTAGCAATAATGTGGACTATCTACAAGATACGTTGCAGAAATTCACCAAATGTTCTTAGACAGCACCTTCCAAGCGCACAACCACTTCCATCAAGAAGGACAAAGGCAGCAGATACATAGGACCACAGCCAACTGCAATTTGCAGTCAAAATTCTGGACATTGTAGCTCTACTTACAGCATATGCACTGCAGCAAATCAAGAAAGCAGCTCACCCTCGCCTCCTCAAGGACATCTAGGGATGGGCAATAAATGCTGGCCCAGACAGCAACACACACATCCCACAAATGAATGAGAAAAGAACTTGTAGGTGGTGGTGTTCCCAGTGTCTGGAGTCACATATAGGCTGAGGATATCAGACTTTGCTTTTCTAAAAGGCATTAATTAGTGAATCAAATGGGGTTTTACCACAATCAATAATGATTTTGCTAACTCTTTTAATTCCAAATGTTATTTGTTACGTTGGACTCCACAGGTTGGTGATAATGATATTTGAAAACTGGAACATTGCCTCAGTCTGTTGATTACTTTATAGTGTCATTACCTTTGCTACTGTCTATCCATCTTGTAGAGAGTTAATTGCAGTAGGAGGAGGATAAAGGATGTTGTACACTTCAAATTTACCAGCAATAAATATATTGTCTGTGCTGTCTATGGGTTTTGATTCTGTACTTGTGCTACAAGCTAATCTATTTGACAATGGAGTTTATCATCATAAATGCTTTACAGTTAATGACCAGAAAATAAGAACTTTCACGTATTATATTGTCTAGGACTTGATCGCTCCATTAATGTACTTTTTCTTACAATTTGAGACCTTTTGATATGTAAATCAGCTAAGCAGGGGATCTTGCTTGGTTGAGTGCTGAAGGGATCGAAATTATGTTTCCCTAATTGTTTCAAAACAATGTGAATAGATACTTGAACCTTCCTGTCTTATTGGGCCAAAGTTCAAAGCACAGTTTTAATAGTGGGTTTGGTAGTCTAGGTTGGTTGTAGCTCAGACTGAGTAATCACTGGCTTAGTAAAATTCCAACATGCATTAAGGTCTAGAAATAGATGTATGCTTTAGAAATAACAGTGTGTATTGTGGGAGCTCTTAATTCTTTGAAGTGCTGTTACTGGTCTAGGAATATTTTTTCCAGGTGTTTGTAAACTGGATAATCAGTTGGAGATATTTGGAAAGCTTTTTAACAAATTAAAGTGACCAAGACAGATGTTTGACAGCACTTGAGCTTCAGTTCCTACTGCACCCATTTGCTCAGCAGCTAGCCTGGAATGTTTACAACTTCCTTGAGGAGCTCAGTTTGCTTGTCAGATTTGGAAGGAGGATAGTCTTTTAGTTTAGACTGTCAGTGGTTAGGTTGCTGATATTGAGACAAAAAAGATGCAGGTGTAATGAATTGAGAAATATATTTAATTCAAATATTAAAGAATTTAATTATAGAATAGGAACATGGATTATTGTCTTAACTGCATTTTTGATTAATCTTATTGTAGTCCACAACAATTAGTTGAGGAATTATAATTTTGCTTTAGAAAATATATTAAATAGGGTCACAACCATGATTCCTCACTAGCTGAGTTGTCTTGTTCAACAGGACTGGCTGTACGTAGATGTGAGAAAGTTCACTAGAAGGAGAAAAGGAAAGTTAGAGTGTTTGATCCAGATCATCCTTTTGTCTCTTAGAATATTGGCAATGGACCAGGCATTTGAAGTTTGTCTAAACTTCATTTTGAAGTGTGGGGTTTTTGAAAAGGCAATTAACTATGAAATCACAATGGCAAGTGTAAACTAACAATTAGACAATGTAGAGAAATGGCAAAATTGTCTCATTGCTATCTGCATAACCATAATAGTGTGAGATGCAAAGATGTTGGATAATAACAATTTTGGTTAGAGAGGCAATGTAATTATTCAAAAAATTACTTCAAAAGACTGAAAGCATGCTTCATGAGTTTGATATCTTAATTAGAACAATTTGCATTCTTATTCCTGCATTCTGTCTTCTTAATGTAGAAAAATCCCAAGATGCTTGAGGTATCATCAAATTCAATTACTCCTTCAGAATGAGTGCTGCTATTTTCTTTAATGTGGTGAAACAGAATTGTAGGTATTTCCTTGCAGTAAAACAAACATTCACATTTTATTTTACTTAGGTCTGATGTACAGTCAGCTAGCCATATGAAATAGTGAATTTTGCTGGCTTAAAGAGGCAGGAGAGATATCAATTGGGATAAGCAGTGTGTGAAAATATAATTAATTTGATTACTGCGACTTTGGGAGGGGTTTGGGATGGGGAAACATATTTTTAAAAAGGGATTATGAGCAGAACAGTGGATCAGTAGAAGTCTTGCTCACTTCTAAAATAAAAGCAAATTATTGAAGATGCTGGAGATCTGAAATAAAAGCAGAAAATTCTGAAGAGCTCAGCAGGTTTGGCAATATCTGTGGAGAAAGGAACAAATGTAATGTTTTGAGTCTGATATGACTTCAAGACTTTATATTGGATTTGAAACATTAAATTTATTTCCCTCTCCACAGATACTGCATACTTGCTGAGTTTCTCCACTAGTTTGTTTTTATTTCAGATCTCCAGCATCTGCAATAATATGTTTTTATTTTAATAGTGAGAAAGACTCTTATTGATCCACCTTGATTAACATAATCTGTCTCTATTTGCAGCAAAAGAATTGTTGCCCCATTTGGCACCAGGTACTCAATAGTTTCCAAATATAATTACGGCGAATCCACTGTAAAACATGACAAAGACTATAATATTCTTGGCTACTATAAAATACACTCTTTTACTTTAAATGGTTGTATTCATCTGATTGCTACATAACACATTTGCATATTCAGTTGTCTGTTCTTCCCATGTTTGATGCTTTGTAGTTGCCCAGGAAAGGGAGACTGGGATAAAGACATTTGTGTAGATTCTTCCTGTATGAATGGAGACTGTGGGCTTAGGTCAGTGCTCTCCATGATGTCACTGGAACAACACTGCATGATGTGACTGCAGGTGGTGGGGAAACTCTTCACAAGATGTTTCTTCCCAGGCTTCATCTACCCAGAATGCTTAAAGAATAATACACAGTAGCCACTGATGGGAGATGAGTATTTGCTCACAACAGAGTAACATTAGGGATTATGTAGAAGTTCAGCTGAAGTCCCTTTCCTTTAATGAGAGAATTTGAAGTTCAGGCAATTGGTTTAAATAACTGTAGGAAACATGGGGAATGCTGCAACAGTTGAACTGTGGCATTTGTCGAAGAAAAAGAGAATATGTAAAGCCCAGTGCAGAAATGCAACGTATCGTGTTAATGAATGTATCACAGCTCAAGTTTATATGTGTAGTAATATTTGCATAAGACCCAACTGTGGTGATGATCAGCTACAATTCTCAATTCAAAAGGGTGTCAGAAATTGTTTATTAAGCAGGATAGTCAGCATGTAAAATCATTTTCTATTTTTCATCCTCTGCAAAATGTCGTAAGCATTCTTGATCACATGCTTTTGATATCTTGATCTCAAACAGATTAAACATTTTTGGATGTATAGATTGACAGGTAAATGAATCTGTATTTTGAATTGGAAGAAGTAATTTTTCAAACAGTAAATTAGGCAAGAAGCCAGAATGCAGTAGGCAATATGGGTGTGCAACATCCTTTTGTAAAGCTTCTCTCCTCATTGGTTTGTTAAAAACAGGCAATATTTGTTATTCTGATAACTAACATATTCAAACACTAGCCATGCCACAGACTGGGCCACATTTTAACTCATTCAAAACCTACATTTTTACAGAGTTAAAATTATGTCCAGCTAACCAATATGCTAATAAATGATTGATTGTATGGCTTTTGCAAAAAAAAAAGTTGATTTTTCAATGCTGAATAGCAACAAATTAGTCTAATAATCTCCTGAATTTTTGGGACAGTTAAATATTAGTTAAAATTATATCAAGGATGTATATATGTGCTACTCTTTTCCTTCTGGAGCCCAGGTTAGCAGAGATTGATAATCAAGCTTATTTCTCTAATGACTGTAATGAGATGAGTATGACCAATTACAGTAGTTAAATTCTACAGCAGATGGGTCTGCAGGAAAATTATTCCATGGTGTGGTAGATAGTGTATTGAGTGGAATTGTCACACTGCTGCATGCAGAGAATTTCTAATGCTGAGGTGTTGTGTATTTAATGCCTGCTGAGGATGATCTGCATTTATGGGCTGAATTTTATAGTGGGGAGCATTATCTCTGACCAAGAAGGCCTGGGTTCAAGGCCCACCTCCTCCAGAGGTGTGCAGTAACATCTCTGAACAAGTTAATTTAGAAAATATTAATAGTAGAACATAGAACAGTACAGCACAGTACAGGCCCTTCGGCCCACGATGTTGTGCCGAACTTTTACCCGAAACCTAAGATCTATCTAACCTCCACCACTACCTTATACTATCATCCATATACCTATCTAATAGCCGCTTAAATGCCCCTATTGAGTTCGACTCCATTACCCTCTCCGGCAATGCATTCCACGCCCCACCACTCTCTGAGTAAAGAACCTACCTCTGACGTCTCCCCGATATCTACCTCCTTTCACTTTAAAACTATGTCCCCTCGTAAAAGCTACCTCCACCCTAGGAAAAAGTCTCTGGCTGTCTACTCTATCTATACCTCTGATCATTTTGTACACCTCTATCAAGTCACCTCTCGTCCTTCGTTGTTCTAAAGAGAAAAGCCCTAGGTCTCTCAACCTTTCCTCGTAAGACCTTCTTTCCATTCCAGGCAACATCCTGGTAAATCTCCTCTGCACCTTTTCCAATGCTTCCACATCTTTCCTGTAATGAGGTGACCAGAACTGGACACAATACTCCAGATGTGGCCGAACCAGGCTTTTGTATAGCTGGAGCATAACTTCACGGCTCTTGAACTCAATCCCTCTATTAATGAAAGCTAACACACCATACGCCTTCTTAACAACTCTAAACTCTAACTCTAGTGGGGAGTGTTAGGGCTCTTCAGGTAAAGTTTCAGGATTCACCTGCTCCAGAGATGTATCATAAAGCATGTAGACAAGATCATAGAATCCCTACAGTGTGGAAACAGGCCATTCAGCCCAACAAGTCCATGCTGCCCATTTGAAGAACATTCCACCCAGACTCACTCCCCCAACCCTGCATTTCCCCATATCTAACCCACCTCATCTAAACATCCCTGGGCACTAATGGGCAGTTTAACATGGCCAATCCATCTACCCAACACATCTTAGGACTGTGGGAGTACAACCCACACAGACAGGGGGAGAATGTGCAAACTCCACACATATAGTCACCTGAGGCTGGAATTGAACCATGGTCCCTCAGGCTGTGAGGTAGCAGTGCTAACCACTGAGCTACTGTACTGTCCCATTTTTTTTTCCAGAATACACAGCTGGTTTATTGTTAATTGCCTTATACAACATACATGGTTTTAAAAACCTTCAAAATCAGGAAAATTTAGGTAGAACAATTAGCACTAAGACATTTCCATTGGAAATGTGCTAAATATACATACGTCTGTCATTTTATTACCATCTTGTATCAGTTTTCTTATGCGTTAAATAGCACCCTTCTTCTGTAGTCATGCATATCGGCGTTAAATTCTTGAGATCTAATCACATGGGAAGTCCATTCACTGCAGTTATTCATTCCTGCATAAGATGAGTGTGTATATAAGCTAACAAATATACAAAGAATCAGCCACACAACAGGAAACTTCAGGAGCTGTTAAACACATCCTCTAGAAGCCATAGACCTTTAACTGCTTCTGCTTCACAATGCCAACCTCCAGAATAAATTGGCAGATGTTCTTCCACTGGTCACCTTGAAGTTGGATTACTTCACCGTATTCAGGGTGTTCTATCACAGTACCATTGCAAGCAAATTTCTTTTTAAATGCTTTCATAAGCTTCTTTTTATCATAAGCATCTGCAATGCCTTGGATAGTGGTCGGTGTCTCCCTACCATTACGTTGTTGAATTCTTATATAGATGTACTCTTCAGTCCCTGCCGGGAGGCGATAGTCACCCTTAGTTTCATCAGCAAAGGGGTCAAATGATTGGAGGTTCTGGATTGTGGACATGCGATATTATAGAAAGACTCGTTGGGAATGAAAAGCTGGTCACTTTGATTAAAAGTTGATTAAAAATATCTACATAGGGGAGCGTACTACTCAACCTCACTCTCCCGTGGAAGAAAAATTGGCCTCAAATGAACCAAGTTTTGAAAAGCTTGTCTCACAGAATTAACATGTTGGGAGGTGGGGTTGTGGTACCGTGAAGTGGATAGGAAGTACTGCCCTCCAGGGCTGCCAGCCAATCTGATTGGCTTCCACCTCTAATTGTCCAGAAATGCTAGAACTGAGTCGTGGGCACTGCCTGGACTGTAAGGAGACCCAAAGAGATCATCGATGGCAACTGCACCAAGGGAAGATATAGGCCTTTAGGTCAAGGAGAAGGTATTGTGGTATTGCACACTCTAGGGAGCAGGATTGGGGGCTAGAATTTTGGAGGCTGGGTGAGGGAGAAACAAAATTGGGGTGGTGACATTTTGCGGGATTGCCTCTATTATGCAATGGGCACCCTTGATGTTACCTCCCCTTCCTTCCCACCTGTTCAAATAAAAATCAGCTTCTGCACTCCCGCCTGCCTAACACTGTCCAGTGTTTTAGATAATTTGGAGCAGGTGAGACTTGAATCTCTCCTGACTCAAGAGGAAGGTACATTGCCACTGCAGTATTAGAGCCCCCACTGTCCAGCATTTTATGGTAGTGGAAGTAGATTTAGGCCCTTAATTGTCTTATAATTGGTAATCTAAGGGCCTCCAAAAGGCCTAAGGCATAGGTTGGCCATTTGACATAGTTTACGTGGCAAACATCCCGCAGGCTGTGGTGGAGGAAAGAGGAAAATTGCTTTTCTTTCTAAACATAAATATGCTTTATGTATTGAGTCATGTTTTGCTCCCATGTGTTTTGTGATCTGGGCATGTTCTGCACATTTTAATTTGCCCACAAATCTGCATGGTACTGAGAGCTGCTGGTATTGTGATTCTTGGATAGAGACCTGTAATCACCCATCATAGTTCGCACAGCTTGAAGGGCTTCCAAAATATTAGCCAATATTGCAGACAAAATAAATAGAAATAAAATGGAGGATCAGGATAAGGCATGAATCAGCAGATGCTTGGTGTTTGCTGGTATGTTATGCTGGAGACCACTGTTTATATCCAAACAGCGAGGGCCAGCAAGCTGCTTGACTCTGAAAGCAGCCTCCTATTTGACTGTTCTTCTTCATGCATGCACCTTCTACTAGAAACAAGGAACAAAGTAATAACTGGTGATTGGAACAGTTTTGTTTGAATTATTTCCTTTTTTCAGTCTGAAGTAATACTGACGTCAGTTTCACCACATTGACTGATGCTCCAGTTGAGATCCACCAACTCAGCATAACCGTTACATAATATAACTGTGACTATAATTGATTGATTTCATCCGCCATTGGAACAATACCATTTAACGTCATGTGTTTAGAGATTAATGATTGAGTTTTGAGTTGCAAAATTTCATGATGCATGGCAACAGAGTTAAGGTGTGAGTATCTGCCATTGTTTAAGTTATGAGACTGAATTTTAACCAGATTTTGGCAACATGTCATTTTCATGGAGTTCTGTGCAGGGTGTCTCTCTGTGAGGCCAGTGGACTTTCTCACTCCATCTATCTATTAACTACATATGCCACTCCTATGGCACTCCTCTTGTCTGATGCTAGCCCAATTCGACCAGTCACTGTAGCCAGAGAAACTCGCCAATGCTGGGCTGTCCTGGAAGAATATATCAGGCATGAGCCCCTTCTTTGAATCCTGGATTTGCACCTAGAGTTGCACATGGAGTTGGCAGTCCAGAGCTGCCCTTCACCATCAAAGGAGTGGCACAGCAGTCACAAACCAGCATGCCTCACAACTCACAGATGACAGGGCTGACACTTCCTTGCACATTCAACTACATATTCCTACGTTAATTGTTGTTTAACTACCAGGCCATGCAACTCACCAACATATCACATCCCTTCTTGCAGTCCTCTCTTAGTCTATGCTACTGTTCATCAGTGCCCACTGTAGCCCAGCACCTTAGGGACCTTCACATACAGTAAAATCTTCAAATGATGCAAAACATTAACTTTTATTTACAAATGTCAAGAGTGAACAGGAATCAAACAAGCAGAATCTACATTTTGCTACATTTGTACCTGGGGGAAGACAGCTATGATACAGAGCTTACTGCCTAGGCTGCAGCGCTGACCTTGTCACAGGGAAACAAGTCAACCAGTGTGATCTGGTACAAATGGCATTGGTCACCGGCTTTAATGAACTTGATTGAGAGATCCCACGCAGATCCCCCATCGCGCCCTGGAAAGAGCCAGTCACACACAACTCCGGTGCAGCCGTCAACTTGATGTCCACCAGGATAAGATGGCCAGACATTCCTTCAGGTCACTGCTCCCACTCCAGCAGCACTGTTCTCAGTCTGTACTGACTACCTCACTGATCTGGAAGAAATGGCTTTTCTGTCTCCACTGCACCTTGTGGGGCTCTGCAGCTGCGATCTTTCACATAGTGGAGGCTGTTTAGTTTCTGCAACAAGTTACTGCTGGCCCTGGGTGTATTGGTTCCTCCTCCATCTCCCTGCAACTTTGTTGTAGTGCGTTGACAGTGATGAGCACACCAGTACCCTGCCCATGAAAGATGTCCTGTCACACAGAAGTGGGGCCTGAGGTTTTTTGGCTATCAAACTGACATTGACTGTGCCCACTCTGGGCATAATCTCAGCTAACATCCTGGCTGTTAGCAATTATCAGATCGAGGAGGGAAACCTAACTTGTGCTGGATACTGTGGGTACCTGCTTCTGAGGAAGGGTCACCGGAACCGAAACATTAACTTGGATTTTTCTTCACAGATGCTGTCAAACCTGCTGAACTTTTCCAGCAACTTCTGCTTTCATTCCTGATTTACAGCATCCGCAGTTCTTTCATTTTTTTTTATTGGGTACCTTGTTTTCTGGTTCCACCCAACTCAAGCCGCTGTGTCCCTTTCTGTCTGGCACTCCCCAGACAGTCTGCCTTGATCAAAGCCCCCACATGTCCCTGTCCACCATCTCGATTTCAGACTGCAACTTTCTTCCTTACCTCCTGAGCCTTGTCATTACAGTTTGGTGATGTCTATGATTGTTCTGCATAGTCTCCACATTGGAGCTGTAGACGGTGAACACCTATCACTCCACACCCCTATCGTCTATGAGGCATCCCATCCCACTCTTCCTCATTAAGTATGTAGTTTCCTCCCTTCACAATCCTTGCCCCCTTCACATCCCAGGCTGCTACCTACAATTCCCAGCAATGAGTCCCTCCACCTCCCTATATCCAAAGGGCTCCCTCATTTTGCTTCTCGCCACCCCCTTCCCCCAGACTTGCCTTCCTTTTGACCATCTGGACTGATTATGGCCGTGTCCCCAGGATGTAGTGGTATGGAACCCCTCAGCCTGGCCACCTCAAGCAGGCGAGTGACCTTGACCAAGCCCCTGGACTGTGACCAGATATTTCCCTTGACTAACTGCACTGGTGTCTCCTGACCTGCAGCAACCCACTTGTGTCAACTGAGGACTACCCTCTTAGGCTTTGAGATATGACATTTAATTGAAGCACATGTTGTATGTTTGCTCGTGGCAGCTGGCCCATGCTGTTAGTGCGCGATTGACAACGTGCTTTGCTGCAGAACAGCCATTCCACCCTCTTGAGTGATGGCTGCCAACAAACATTACAAGCTGCCTGGGTTTGAGTTTGCACTAAGCAGCAAGGCAAGCCTTTAGGTTCTGGCTGGGAGGCCATAGCATAAGAAGGAAAGGCAGGAATGCTGTGTGCATCCGTGTAGGTGCACTGAGAGAGAGAGAGAGAGAAGGCAAACAGCCCTGAGACAAGCCCTTGTCCAATCTGTACGCTGAGTGTCTGTCACTGCACACTAAGTGTCCTTCCAGGAGCTTTTCAATGATAGTTGCTAGTGTGTTCTAAAGGCGAGCACTGAAGTGTGGAAGCGTGCTGTAAGTGGATTGGAAATAAGCCATGGTGACATAATGAGGCTGGCACTGTCAGGTATGCATGCGACCTCTGCCTGTGGAAGGTTCCTTGAGCCATTACCGGATTCCAACATGAAGGTCCAGAGGAGCAAGCAGTGAGCTGGAGTGGCCAGGCCCTGACATCAGGAATGTTCAGGGTGTATTTTCTATCTAGTGTGTGATAGAATAGCAGGAGCATATTAGTGAGGTGAGACTAAGTGATAATGAAGGTGACAGCGAGAGATGATCTCACTTTTGCCACTCACGAGCGAGAATCTTGTCTTGATGTCCAGATGTCTATTGAAACATGTGACTTGTTGCATCCAATGGTGACTAAAGCCTAACTGGATGTCTTGCATGATTATCCCAGCTGATGTGAGATTCCACCCATGATATTTTTCATGAAATCCTACAAAAAAAATGTGATTCCTTCCCTTATAAAGAGAAATAAATATGAAGTACACTTTGTGCATGGAACCTTACGTGGATGTGTTTGATTTCATTTTCATAATTATCCATCAAAGGCTTGGTTAGCCACCTTTTATTAAACTACCACAGCTCATGAGCACTGTGATTTTAGATTGGGGTGTAAATATTGTTTGTTCTATTTTGGCATGCTATAAAGTTTGCAGTTTAAAAATATCTTTCACAGAACACTTGCATAACAGTTGCCTGCTGATGTTTATCTTTATTTCACTTTCGTAATCATACCTTCTAATATCCTGTTTATAATGTGAATGCAGCAAAATGCCAATGTGATACTACATCAAACACAAGCACCTTCACTATACACAATAACTAATGTTTACAATAATGGGGTTTTTTTAAATGCAAATGTACGGTGTGAAGATTTTTTGTCATTAGGCATGGAAGTATAATACACAAGTGCAGCAAGGTTTTCTATTTCTGATTTTTAACAAGTAAATAGCTGGCGAAGCTGGCAGGAGATAAATAGCTATTCATCCCATCTTTGTGTGTTC